CTACACATATGCTGCTGTGTGTGATAATCTATATAGAGAAAATAACTTTTTTGTTTCAGGTTTATGGTGCAGTACAAGTGTATATCACAGCCCTATGCTACACTCTGTTTTCTCTAATATAAGCCCCACCACAGGTATAGGAGGATGGTATTTGTATACCATATCCTCTTCATTCCTCCATCGAACTGCTTGGTATTATGCCAAATATTATTTATTCTGGAGTATTTAACATGTTTTATGTTATTTATATTGTTTATTATGTCATATTAGATCAAACCATACCACGGGCGGGATTTGAACCCGCGGTCAGTCTCTCAAAACTCCAGAACGTCGCGTTAGCCACTGAACCAGCTAGCTGGTCCAGTGGCTAACGCGACGGTCTGGAGCTTTGAGACTCTGACCACGGGTTCAAATCCTGCCCGTGGTATGGTTTGTTTGCAATCATGTCATTACGATTTCGTGAGTCATATTAGATCAATTGTGATAGGCAAATAAGCTGTAGTGTTGATATTAGCGTAATAATAAAGCATATTCTCCTGCATCATGAGACTGAGTTCATGACAACCAACAGTGGCTTCAAAGCCACCTTATCTTTAATGGATAATGTACTGTGTAGGTGCTTTACATAATGAGAAGCATTTCTTTTATTCATTGGAACCATGGCTAGGGCTAAAAGCAGGTTATAACAATAAATGGAGAAAAAGAAATTGGAATGACTTATGCAGCAAGTAGCACCACCAAACAGTACCAGCAGGTTGGTGTGGGAACCCTGGAAATTTGAAATTATGCTAGCCAAAATTAGTTCCAAATAACTGATTGCCGGATTTGTGATATATATATGTGTGTGTGTGTGTGTGTGTGTGTGTGTGTGTGTGTGTGTGTATATATTATTATTATAATCAAGGGGGAAGCGCTAAACCCGGAGGATTATACAGCGCCTGGGGGGGGGATGTGGAAGACATTCAGGCTTAATTCGGGGAACTGGAGCACAGATCCAATTCCCTAAATCAAGAGCCCCTCACCAACATCAAGGAACCTTCCTTGAGGGGTGTGTGTATATATATATATATATATATATAATGTGTGTGTGTGTGTGTGTGTGTAGCTCAAATCCAATTAATATTTATAGTTTCTCTTGTTTAGCTAACCTAGTCATATTTTTTTTTTATTTTTTTTGTCTAATCCTCTTTAGAACAGATTACTATTTGTAATTATTTTCCTATTGATAATTTGAGCAAGTTACCTTGGCTAGGTTAGGCTCAATATGGTATATGCAACCACTGGAAATTAGTTGGATACTAAAGCCCAGCACCTTATCTTAGATACAGTATGTTACATTCATCAACTGGAGGTAACTGGCAGGCTAAGAGTCCAGCACCTTACCTAGATCAGGCATAGTATTATGCCTGGTCTAGCATTTATCCACTGGGATATCTTTTAACCCTTTGAGGGTTTTGGTCGTACTAGTACGTCTTACGCGTAGGGGTTTTTGACGTACTAGTACTCATAAATTCTAGCAGCCTCAAATCTAGTGGGAGAAAGCTGGTAGGCCTTCATCTGAAAGAATGGGTCTATGTGGTCAGTGTGCACAGTCTAAAAAAAATCCTGCAGCACACAGTGCATAATGAGAAAAAAAAAACTTTGACCATTTTTTTTTAATAAATCAGCGACTTTGCAGTGTATTTTCGTATGGTATTTATTGTTGTATTCTAGTTTTCTTGGTCTCATTTTATAGAATGGAAGACATATTACAGAAATTGAGATGATTTTGACTGGTTTTACAATGAAAGGTGCCTTGAAATTGAGCTCAAAGTAGCAGAAATGTTCGATTTTTACCAAACTTCAAAAGTAAACAAATCGTGCCAAGCGTGCAATACACGTCAACTGGTGAGTCTAATATTCTTTCACAAGTGCACCAATAATATTTATACCATTTTTTACACTAATGCAGTAGTCTGCATAACAGTAAATCTTATATTTTTTGTGAGAATAAAAATTCAAAGTGGAAAGCAAAAGAATATAAGAGGGGCCTTGAGACATGACTAATGACTAGAGGAAATGTCATTTTAGTGCCAGGAATGTCTTTCTTGTTTATTCTGGACCCTATTCGGAAATTGGCATCTTTTGAAATTTGTGTGAAATTGGCAAAATTGCTAAATTCTGACCACTGTACTGGATAGTTGAATTTATAAATGGGTGGTTTCTTGCACTCATTCGATAGAAAAATTGGAGTTCTAGCGGAATATTCATGTTTTTTGTCGACTAGTACAGTGAAATTGGCCGAAAATGGGGCTCAAAGTGGGCAAAATCGCCGATGCGTAAAGATCGCCGAGACCGCTAACTTTGCGAGAGCATAATTCCGTAAGTTTTCTATCAAATTTCAAACTTTTGGTGTCTTTATGATCGGGAAAAGATTCTCTATCTTTTCATAAGAGAAAATAATTTTTTTTTTTTTTTAAATTTGGCCGACCCTGAGAACGAGTTTCGGAGAGGGCCTGTCGACCCTCAAAGGGTTAATACTCGTAAATACACTTTCTGACCTTTAACAGTGCTTACACCATTTAAGATTGCAAAATCTTAATTTGAAGTTCTTGTAGGCTGTTGCTAAATTCATTTTGTTTCACTTGGTTGTCAAGCAGCATCTTGTTGATCAGAGTAAACATTGGCTTGATAGTTATTTCTTTTCTCACTCCAAGTTGCAGCTGCTTCTGATTGTTACATCATCATGATAGATACTTTATTGCCACTGTTGATGTACACCTCAACTGTAGGAGAGCAGCCACTTCCATGTAGTGAGTTCTTGGTACAGTATTTTGAATGTAGGTAAAATGAGTCATACAAAATAGGCGAGAGCTGCTCAGTGACATGTATTTTCCTTGCTTATTTCATCTTTTTCCACTTTAGTCTGAAAAAATACTTATCATGGGTTAACAATTGTTTACTTTTTTGTATGTTGACATATTTATGTATATTTTATCATTGTAAGCATTTTCATGTTCAGTATTATTTTTTTTTTTCAATAATATTGCTAGATTCTGAAGTGACAAGAGTAAATAAAAGCTGTAACTTGATAAACTATATAATTCCCACCTATGCTGAGCTACCACTTGATGTGGCATATTACCTTCCTCCTGCCCCTATACTCAACCATAATACGTACCTCCTTCCTGTGTACTGTGCTTAATGTAGTACCTGCCTACTCTCTCCTTCCCACTTTGTTCAGCTGTCTACTTATTCCTGTCCAAGTTGTTCAACTGTAGCACCTGCCTCCTCCCTAATGCCCACTGCCTGATCTTAGTAACCTCTTAGTCATCACCTTTCTTAATTTCCTTCATCTGAAATCCTGTGCCTTTTCCCTGCCCATTTGTGTACTCATTGATTTATCCAGTATTATACATTAATTTTTACTTTTTTTTTTTTTTTTTAAGCATGGCAACCATAATGTCATAATAGCTTTTCTGGAAGTTTTTATGAAACTGACATTTTTAATCTGTATTTTTTTTATCTTCATGTACACTGATTCAAATTCTCTAGCATTGTGGAATAATCTGTAAACTTTGATTCATTGTTAACCAGTTGAGGATACATGGAAATTGTAGTAGTAATACACTACCTTTGATTTGCCCCTCTGTTGAAAATGATGTTTAACTAGTACTGTATACAGGCATGTAGAAAACTTTTGTTAAGTGAATGTTAATATAAATATGTTCTTAATATTTTTATTTGTATGGTGTAAATAGACCCCTGAACAAATTCACAACCAAAAGTTTTTAATTTTGTGAAGCAGGAAGATTATCAGCATAGTTACATATATTATTTATCTTAAATTTTTTTATAATTTGACCAGCAATAAATTTTTTTTATAATTTGACCAGCAAAACAATTGGTAGAGAACATGGGATATATTAATACTCTATTTCATTGATTCTTCTTTTTAAAAATAAATTTTAAGTGCATATCACTGCATGGGCATTGCTTTTGTGTGTTCATTTACAGCCCATTGATGAATTCAGTAATTATTACAATCAAAACTAAGTGCTAAACCCACAAGGGTCATACAGTGCTGCAACTCGGTAATTAAATATAGTATTTATTGCATTCGTGTAAATCTAGTTCTGATGTGCAATTTAAATGGACTGTCTAATGTATTTATTTTGTATCTAATGGTTTATGGGAAATTATTGAAAATACAAAGGTATAATACCCATCTTATGGCACAATAGAAATGCATGTAATTTTACAGGAGAGCAATTGTTAGGTTCTTTTCTGAGGTAATACTCTGCTCTCCTCCAACTCTTGTGCTATGTATTTTGTTGCACTTCTACTCATTGGTGTTCTTTTACACTATAAACTGACAAAACATGCACTACATATCTTTTTCCAGAATTCATTTTGATGCACTGTACAAGTAGTCATATGTATAGTCTGGTTTATCTCCATCTGATATTTTTTAACTATGATAATATAGCATATGTTTATACAGTGCATGTCTCTGTTCTAGGTACTAAGATTATTTCCTCAAATGCCATTAGCAATTTTCTGAATATATTAAAAATAAAACTACCTATAAAACCTCTTATGCTTGCAGCTGTATAATACACGGTAGTCTCTATTAGATTTACCATGATGTAACTATCTAGCTTAGAAACAATTTGCATAGATTGGAAGAGGTAGAAGGGGCTTGGTGATGGTTGTTATTAGTAGTAGTATATACCACCTTGTTTTGTACGTATATAAACTAATTACTGTAATACAATACAGTGTATTTTAAAGTCCTTGCAATTTCATTAACATCTTTGAAACTACATACGTACATTTCTTTGGAATTTATTCCATTATGTAACATGAGAGATATTAGATTTTCGGTTCAATTTTTATCATATATTAGGCAAAATATAACATCAGTATTAATATAAAGATTTTCACCTTACAAATTTAAAAAACTCACTTATGTTGTCTCACCCATAAATGAGCATTAATCATGTTTATTTTTCTCACAGGTGGAGACTTGCCGAGAGACTTTAATGACACTCTCTCTGACTGATGCAGAGAATGCTAATTTAGAGCCAGAAAAAGTTTTCACTAGTATAGAGATGGATGCAGGAGAACAAGAAACTAGAATTACTGATGAACAGTTTGTAAGTGAAGATAAAGTGGATGTTAACAGAGGGAATGTTAAACAGAGTGGACCTGTCGATTATTTCGTAGACACTGCTGGCAAGTCAATGGATAGACCAATTGGTGAAAGTACTGCCAGGTCTGCAGATGAGACACTTCATTTAGTTTGTACCCCTCTACCTCAAACTTCAGCCTCTTCAGATGAAAATGCCAATAGACGTTAGTGCAAAGACATGTTTAACTAGAGCTGAGGTTTTTATAAATTTATACACTTGAGCAAAAAATAAGAATTAAATAAGTGGCAGTTTTTAAAATCTAACTGTTCTTGGAAAATGTGTGGTCCAGTATTGTATGTACAGTCATGGTAGATGCAACTCAAAAATGAAAAGTAAAATAAAATTTGAGGTAAAATACATATCAAAGAATGTTTCTTAAAGAACATAATAAGTCTCATCAGTGCAGATCTTGCTTGGCACTATTGATTTATGGGATTGTATTGAAAAAATTTACTTATCTAATGATGATAAAGAACATGAAGTATTTATTTTTTATTGTTGCTGTTTTCATTTAAAATGTTGTGATAAGTGAAGTTTTAACTTTAGCTTTAACCATATTATTATTATAATCAAGGGGAAGCGCTAAACCCGTAGGATTATACAGCGCCTGGGGGGAGGGATGTGGAAAGCATTCAGGCTTAATTCGGGGAAATGGAGCACAGATCCAATTCCCTAAATCAAGAGCCCCTCATCAACATCAAGGAACCTTCCTGAGGGGAGCTTTAACCATAATGACCAAGCATTTATCTTGTTATTGCAATTATCTTTATGTAAACATACAGGCCTTAAATCAATTACCTATAATCTTGCTTGGAATTTTTTTCGGCATTTTGGCGGATGGAATATAGATGCATTTATAATTGGTAATGATTAAGCAGGCATACTGTTAATACTATCTATTTTTAAACAGTGAATAAAAGTTTGCAAAGCTTTAGCCAGTAGCTCTAAAGCATTGTCAAGCACTTTTTATTGTTCTGTGAATGTAAATGCAAGCTACAAAGTGTGGTCCCATATTGTGGATATACAACCTATAGTTTATACTTACTGTCCAAATTCGTACATACATGTGGAGATGTAAATATTTCATGAAATATAGTTATACTGACATAGTGCTAAGACTTCTTAAACATGTTTTGTAAGGATTTTATATTGATCATTATCACGTGAACATCGAGTTGTGTAGTTTGTATGTGAAATTGTGAGTCAATTTTTGTTGGTTAAATAACTGGTTATTTTTTAATTTTAAGTAAGGAGTTTTTATGTCCTGTGAAGAAAGTATTTACTGAATTATAGATTTTTTAATTTTATTTTCATCATTGTAGGAGTGCTTTAGGTTAACTAGACAGATTCTAGTTTGTCAAGATTTGGACCACTGATTAATTTCAGAGTTGACAGTATTGTCATCTGTGATTGATCATTTGTGCAGCTTACTTGGAACTGTGAATGAGCAATGTTCATACAAATGATCATAACCTTTTTGTAAATAAAGTGTTATGCATAGTTCTGCTCTCTCCATCCTTGTTTTGTACAATAATTTATTCAAAGTTAGGAATGACAGTGTCTTACGAAGAGCACTGTACATTTATAGTAATGTACTACCAGTGTATAGTTTTAATATTTTTACTAATACTGGATGGTGCTGGTGCAGTGCTAGTACTGCATTATACTGGAGAGAAATTAACATTATTATAATAAAAAAAAAAGCACAAAACTACAAAGGTTATACATTATTATTATAATAAAAAGAAGCGCTAAGCCACAAGGGCTATACAGCGCTGCAGGGCAGGAAGGAAGCGAGGGCATCAGGTGGCAAAAGGGAGGTGGATGAGTAATAGGTTACGGATAACAGCGGAGCAGTGGATGGTGAAAGGGTAAAGGGCAGCAAGAGACTGAGCTAGAAAGGGCTGAGGGGAGTGCGTAAGGTATCATCATCAGAGTTTGTGGAGTAAATCAGTCGTTGTCAAGAAGTCAATGAGAGAGTCAGGATTAAAGGAGGGTCCATCAGCAAGAAGGGAAGGTAAATTATTATAATCAAAAAGAAGCGCTAAGCCACAAGGACTATACAGCGCTACAGGGCAGGAAGGAAGCGAGGGCATCAGGTGGCAAAAGGGAGATGGATGAGTAATAGGTTACGGATAACAGCGGGGTAGTGGATGGTGAAAGGGCAGCAAGAGACTGAACTAGAAAGGGCTGAGGGGAGTGCGAAAAGTATCATCAGAGTTTGTGGAGTAAATCAGTCGTTGTCAAGAAGTCAATGAGAGAGTCAGGATTAAAGGAGGGTCCATCAGCAAGAAGGGAAGGTAAAGAGAGAGTAGTAGAACGAAGACGACGTTGTAGGTAAATTCTGCGTGCTCGTTGATAGGGCAGTCTAACAGAATGTGGCTAATCGATACTGGAACTTGACACTGCTCACAGAGAGGAACAGGGTGCCTCTCCATGAGATACCCATGAGCAAGACGAGTGTGGCCAATGCGAAGGCGGGAGAGAGTGGTCTCCCAACCTCGGCACTGATGACAAGAAGACGGCCAGTAACCTATGCTCAGTTTAATAGAATGAAGTTTGTTACCGAGCAGAGTTGACCAACGTTGTTGCCAACGGGTGCGAAGGTGGGTAGCTATTGCAGCAAAATAGTCCAGAAATGGAACACCTCGATAGGAAATCGGTAGGTCATGTACTGCTGACCGCGCAGCAGTGTCTGCCTGTTCATTGCCCTGTACGTCGACATGACCAGGGACCCAACAAAAAACAATATCTTTATGTTTGGTAGCGATACGGCGTAGCCAAAGTTGGATACGGAGAACTAGGGGATGAGATGTATCAAATTTTCGTACAGCCTGTAGAGCACTAAGGGAGTCTGAGACTACTACAAATGATGACACAGGCATAGATGCGATACGAATAAGTGCTGCAAGAATGGCATACAGTTCAGCAGTAAAAATGCTAGCTGAAGATAGTAAATGCCCCCGCACGACGCTGTTTGGAAACACTGCTGCGAATCTGACGCCGTCTGAAGACTTAGAGCCATCTGTGTACACAGCGGTGGCATGAGAATGGGAGTGGAAGTGATCAAGAAAAAGAGAGCGGGAAGCCACCGTAGGCAGTTGAGCTTTTGAGCAAGGGAGTGAGAAAGAACAGACCCGAACAACTGGAACTTCCCAGGGGGGTAGGGAAAAGTGAGATGCTACACAAACATATAAAGGTGGTAACTGAAGGGAAGACGAGTGAATGTAGGCGAAGAGAAAAGGGACGGAGCAAACAGGGGCGGCGAACGAATAAAGAATGTCTACTAATATCGGTGACACAAAGGTTATACAGCACAGCAGGGCAGGGAAGGATGCAGGGGAAATGGGTGGCAAGAGGGCAAGGGATGATTATTAGGGTATGGAGTGCAGCAGGGCAGTGGATAGTGCAGGGTAGAGGGTAACTAGAGAGTAAGGTAGACAGGACAAAGGAGAGTGCTAGAGGCATCATCGTCAGAGTTTGTGTAGCAAATTGGTCACTGTCAAAAAGTCAGCTAGAGAATCTAGCTTAACCCCTAAACTGTCCAAACGTATATATACGTTCACTACCCCAATGCCCCGAATATTTTGAATAATTTTTTTTTTTTTAATGAAAATAAAGAGCACATGTTTCTAAGTGTTATAGGCTAAAAAAAAAATTAGGGGCAATACTTACAGAGATATGAGTCGGAGAAGTTGGCACTGGATGCTTACGTGACAGCAACATCGAGTCCTGCCACTTGCAGAAGTGTTACCGATATATCTTATTTTCTATTTTTCATATTTTATATACGTAATTTTTATGTTCTGATAATTACAATTTATAGTAGTTCTTGTCATTTCATAACCAATCTTTGTTCTGACACTAGTATTAGGTATTGTCTTGGAATATATACAAAGTATTTATAGGTCTCAGCAATGTTTTGGATATGTGGATGTAATTTTTTATTATTATAATCAAAAAGAAGCACTATACCACAAGGGCTATGGAACTATATAATAATAATGAGGAAAAGGAGGAAGAGAAGAATACATAATAATAGGTAATAATAAGTTCCCTTGAAGCATGAAAAATAAAGCCCACCCCTGACAGTAACATGACGAGATAACATTTGATAAGAGCTGACGTTTGATGAGCATTCGCGAGGGTGCAGTGATAAGACTTGATAAGAAAAGATTAGAGGTGACATTCGATGAACATCGGCCCTGCTTTGTTTTCGCTGGTACACAAACCTGTCTATCTGTATTTGTCTGTCTGTCAAGCTCCTTGTCTATCTGTCTAGCTCTCTGTCTGGAGAGAGCCACAAGACTGCGTCATCACGTTTACTCACATCTTCAAGCAGAGTATAGCACTTTGGATTTTTTGGGTTATCCTGGGTAATTTACACCATGTATACTTGTATTTATGTGTACCTGTGAGACAGAGATAGAGACATTGGAAGAGAGAGATAGATAGATAAAGAAAGACAGACAGACCCTAAACTTGGGGTTAACATCACTTTCCTCTTAAAAGGGGAGTGTTGACATTACATCAGTGAATCCTTGGTGTTTGCTGCACTGTTTGCTCCAGCTGGCACTCAATTTAACTGGCACTCCCACAAGGTACTAAGTGGTCCCAGATTTTTTTTAATATGGTGCACACCGAGTGTTAAGACCCATTCTATACTGACCAGGCATCTCAGGACAATTGTGCCAAATTTGGAGGCAGGAAAATTAAAACGTATATATATGTTTGGACCGTTTAGGGGTTAACCCTTTGACTGTTTCAGTCGTATATATACGTCTTACGAGCCACCGTTTTTGACGTATATATACTCAAATTCTAGCGGCTTCAAATCAAGCAGGAGAAAGCTGGTAGGTCCACATGTGAGAGAATGGGTCTGTGTGGTCAGCGTGCACCATATAAAAAAAAAATCCTGCAGCACGCAGTTCATAATGAGAAAAAAAAACTGACATTTTTTTTTTAATTAAAATGCCGACTTTGTGGTCTATTTTCGTATAGTATTTA